CCGAAAATTTGAGAATACAATACTGTTATTATTAGTACTTTACACTGCACCACTCCAACCTGAACAGTAAAAACTCATTTGAAACATACGCGTTACATTTATTTTAACATTACGTGTTTACGTATGTCTATTTCAACTTGTAAGGGTTCTCATAAAAAAAAATTGCAAAATCAGATTTTATAATGTTTCTAAAATGCTGGATTATGTTTCATCATATATACTTCAGGGACGGAGAAGGTTCTCTGGTAACAACTTTCAACCATTTTTTTTTTGTTCTAATAATTATATTTAACACGTTTAACGCCATGTCGGTCCCTAGGGACCGCTACCTTCAAATTTACTTTTTCTCAACTGCAGGCCAACGGACCGCTCATTTGGAGCATACAGTGGCATAGGATGGACCGCTTGGTCCACTAAACTTGACTGATCATAATAATTTTCATTTTTTATTTTTGTCTCTGGAATTCATGGAATAAAATTGTTGAACATGTAAATTGTAATTTTTATTTTGGAATAAAACAAATTTAACATTCTTTGGTAGAAAAAAATTAAAAAACATATTTCCACACAAAACAAAACAAAACTTAACTAATTTGCATTGAAATATAAAAATGTATATATATTTTATTTGTGAAGTAAATTAAAACACTCCATACAATAATGTGGTGTGTTGGGACAATCTGCGCAGAATGTAGTCACCTTCCGTACATTATTCTTCGATATTTCTCCATCCTGCTTTTTCTTATAACATCCTACACAATATTTTCTTATTTTGTGAGCGAGACCCTCTTTCCTTTCTAACTTATGTTCAATCTTCTTCTTTTTCTTTGGTGGGTTATTTTCTATTGATGTTTTGTCTTCTTCTTGATTCTCATCTGTGAACATCATCTTTTCTATTACTTGTTCTCTAAATTCCGTTATTGCCATTTTGGAGTTATTATTTTTTTTATACAAGTAGTGAGCGTTGACCATTGTCGTTCCAAACAAAACTTCTATTGCTACTTTCCGGTACCATTTTATAGTTTTCCTGAGAGCAGAATTATAAGAGGCCATTTGGTCAGAAATATCAATGGAACTTTTTCCTTTGTTGTAGTCAAGTATAGCTTGGGGTTTGTAGTTTGTTTCACCTCTAAATGGGACTTCCACCATCGCATCTGTGTGCTTCGTTGACAACAAAAGGACGTCCCTTTTGTCTTTCCATTTCATAACACATATTCCTCTTTCATTTTCTTTTCCTATTATTTCTCCTTTTTTTCAACTTTTTCTGAATGACTTCTTTTGGATTACCTTTTCGGTTAGATCTAATGGTTCCAACTAGATGAGTTTTTCTATCCAACAATTTGTTTGCCAAGTTAAGACTTGTGTAGTAATTGTCTGTAAAGGCGGTCCTTCCCTCATCTAAAAGATTTTCTGCAAGAGTCATAACGACATTTGTTGGCACACTAGCCCCAGCATCTTGCTCTTTACTGCAGTAGATCTTCATGTTCCAGGTGTAGCCCATTTCACTACACAGCTTGAATATTTTGATTCCGTATTTGTGCGTTTTGAGAGGGATATATTGCTTGAATATTAAACGACTTCTAAAAGGAACCAGAGATTCATCTACGCAGAAAGTACTTGAAGGAGTAAACACTTCCTGGTATTTGTTTACTATCTTCTCAATGAAGGGGCGTATTTTGAAGGTTCTGTCTCCAGGTAGACATAATTCATTATCGGTAAAATGCCATAGGTGTAGTAATAACTCAAATCGGTTGCGACTCATAACGTCAGACACGAGACTACAATATAACCTTTTCCGGCTCTAATAGTGACGCAGAGTGGGCATTCTAACTAACCCCATATACCCTATCAGGCCCAAAAATTTGCGCATCTCAGAATTAGATGTAGGTGTCCACTGATGAAGGCGTGACCCTTCTGAAACATCCTCGCCAGAAGTAAGAACTTGAGTGGCGTCCCAGGCAACATGATGTCGTCTTTTTCACGTCAATAAATGGTCATCAATTACGTCATAGTGACCAAAGATTTCACGTGATATTGACGTACCAATGACGGTCAAATGTCTCGTCCAGATGACGTCATTTTCTGACGAACTATTGACGTGATGTACTGACGTCTTAGAGTCGTCATTTTGTAACGAACTATTGACGTGATGTAGTGACGTCTTAGAGACGGCATTTATTGTCCATTTTAAGACGTTTTTTATATTTTGATTTTTAGAAAAAAATATGCAATAAATAAAACGCTGAAATAATTTTATATTTTTATATTTACCTTAAATAAAATATTGTAATTCGTTATAGTCACCAGGTAAACCCCAAAACAAAATATATCTATATATATAAAAATTGATGTTGGTATATATATCTGTGATCGATAGACTCCGAAATCGTTTGACCGATCACCATGAAATTTGGTACATGTAAGTGGTTTTTCATGGAGAAGGTTTTTGTGGTATCCGCTTTGCTGTAACTAGCCACTAGATGGCGCTACAGCACATCAACTTCTACACCGTTCAACCGATTCTCATAAAAATTGGTACACGTTGCCATTTGACTATGGAGAATATTTTTGTCCTATCCATTTTGCTGTAACTTGCCACTAGATGGCGCTGCAACACATCAACTTCTGTACCAATCAACCGATCCTCATGAAAATTGATATACGTTGGTATTTGACCATGGAGAATATTTTCGCGCTATCGATTTTGCTGTAACTTGCCACTAGATGGCACTGCAGCACATCAACCTCTCTGTTAAAGTATTATGAACTTAGAGAATCAGCGGCACCCAGATATCTAATACTACTATATTGCTATCAGGCCTCAAAAGAGTCCGAAAACACAACGGCAGAGCAATATATCGGACCTCTTTGTCTCTCTATAGTACCAAACAGTACTGCTCATATACTCGTACTTGCTTGATTTTTAGTCGATAACGTGACTAGATGTGTTTTGACATTTCATACGTTCGCTTCTATTTTGTGTACGTGCGCACAGACCCTCGGTACTTTTCTAGACAGAAAACATTGTCTTCCGTTTCCCTTTGTCCGTGAACACCGTTTCTATGTTACTTCTGAAGAGTTAGCAAGTATTAGATATATGGCGGCACCAATGACAACATTGTTTTCGTTGGTATTACAACAAAAATCGTATTGACCGCAAAAGAAAATAATTTGTGATGTTCACTGTCTACAATCCTCAGTAATAACAAAAAGTGAATTACTAGAGATTATTGAAAATGCCACCCAAAAAATCAAACATTGGAAGATCAACCAGACATGCGCAGCAAGTGGCAGCCAGTTGAGCTGGTGAAACCTTTGAAACACGAAACACGCGACTGGAAACTGACCGGATCAGGGCCTCTACTTCAAGAATTGCCGAAACACCCGAAGAGCGAGACTCACGAATTGAAAACCTGCGGGTGCGAGCGTCTACGTCAAGAGCTACCGAAACATCTGAAGAGCGAGATGCACGAGTTGAAAACTTGCGAGTGCGAGCTTCTACGTCAAGAGCTGCCGAAACATCACAACAGCATGACGTACGTGTTGAAGATCTTCGAGCAAGAGCGTCTGCGTCAAGAGCTTCTGCAACACCAGAAGAGCGAGACACACGACGTGAAGCAGAACGCTCACGGCAGACTCGATCAAGAACAAGAATCGATCTCAAGAAAGCAGCGTTCAATTACGATGAAGACTATGACTACTAAATGCATCGCGATGTTGTCATTGGTCCGATGACTAAATTGTGTCTACACTGTCGCGCTTTGAAGTTTCAAAAAGAAGCGCCTGGCATGTGTTGCTCCAATGGCAAAATCAGTTTGCCACCACTGACTGAACCACCAGAACCACTGCTCACTTACGTTGCTGGAGTTACTCGGGAGTCCAAACACTTTCTACAGCATATTCGGAAATACAACTCATGCTTTCAGATGACATCGTTTGGAGCGACGAATATTGTGAGATATAATAATTTTATGCCCACATTTAAAGTGCAAGGACAAGTGTATCATCAGATTGGTTCACTCCTTCCAGTATCCAAAGAAGATCCGCAATTTTTGCAAATTTTTTTCATGGACAATGTGGAGAAGGAGATTGATCGACGTTGCACATTTAGTGTAGCAACATCGAAAGATTATTGCTGAATTACGAGCATTATTCCACGAGCACAACTGTTTGGTTCGAGATTTCAAATCCGCATTGGAGAATGTAAGAGCGATGACTTCAAACTCATTATCAGAGCAGACAAAACCCCATCGAATGAGCATGAAAGACGCTTCAATGCTCCAATAGCCCTTGAAGTAGCAGCTGTAATTGTCGGTACAGAAATTACTCGGCGAGATAATGTTATCAGCAGGCGAAATCAAACCAAGCAACGTATTGCTGAAACACATCGATCGTACGACGCACTTCAATATCCAATTCTATTTCCGCGAGGAGAAGACGGTTATCATCTCGAATTGTATCAAACTCCCGTCACAGGTGCTACGACAACGAAAAAAGTCAGTTGTATGGATTTTTATGCATATCGCATCATGATGCGAGTCGAACAATCCAACCATATCTTAAAGTGTCGTCATGTTTTTCAACAATTCATCGTTGATATGTACGCCAAAGTCGAAAGCGAACGACTCAATTACATTCGTTACAATCAATCGAAGCTTCGAGTCGAAGATTATATTCATTTGCGAGATACAATCGCGAATGATGGAACAATTGGTAACATTGGACAAACGGTTATACTTCCAGCTTCGTATACTGGAAGTCCAAGACATATGCAAGAATATGATCAGGATTCTCTGACATATGTTCGCAGATATGGACGTCCAGATCTTTTCATCACGTTCACATGCAATCCATCTTGGTGTGAAATCAAATATTTACTTTTGCCTGGCCAACAACCATCTGATCGGCATGACCTCGCAGCGAGAGTTTTCAAACAAAAATTGATACGTTTTATGGATCTCATCACTAAGAACCATATATATTGAGAAACTCGCTGTTGGATGTATTCCATCGAATGGCAGAAAAGAGGTCTACCACATGCTCATATATTAATTTGGTTAGTTGAAAAAATTGTTCCAACTCAAATTGATGATATCATTACTGCTGAGCTGCCCAACGCAGAAGAAGATCCAGAATTATTTGAAATTGTGAAAAAAAATATGATTCACGGACCATGTGGGGAACACAACCCACACTCGCCATGCATGAAAAACGGAAAATGCACCAAAAAGTATCCACGCCAGCTGCTGCAAGACACACAAACTGGTGGCGACGCTTATCCGTTGTACAGACGACGAAAACCAGATGATGGAGGATACACCACAACTATCAAAATCAATAACGTTGACTTCGAAGTTGATAATCGATGGATTGTGCCCTACTCTCCTATCCTTTCGAAATCATTCAATGCACATATCAACGTGGAGTTCTGTAATTCAGTTAAGTCAATAAAATACATATGTAAATACGTGAATAAAGGCAGCGATATGGCAATTTTCGGAATTGCGAATCCCAATGCACCTGTCAATGAAATCGAGCAATTTCAAATGGGACGTTATATTAGCAGTAATGAAGCTGTATGGAGAATTCTTGGTTTCGACATTCATGAACGCTTTCCTGCTGTCATGCATCTCAGTGTTCATTTGGAAAACGGTCAACGAGTCTACTTCACGGAAGGCAACGCACCCCAACGAGTTGCAGATCCACCAAATACAACGTTGACCGCTTTTTTCCAATTGTGTGCAACTGACGAATTCGCAAAAATATTAATGTAGCACGAAGTCCCTCAGTACTACACTTGGAATCAATCGACGAAGAAATTTTGCAGAAGAAAACGAGGCGCCAGGCATTCTTCTATAGCTGGCATATTTTCTACTGGTGTACTGGGAAGAGTATATACTGTTCATCCAAATAATGGTGAATGCTACTATTTGCGAATGCTGCTTCACGTGGTCAAAGGACCAACATCGTTTCAAGCAATCAAAACAATCGATGGTCAAGAGTGTGAGACATACAGAGAAGCATGTTTTAAACTTGGTTTGCTTGAAAATGATCAACATTGGGACAACACATTAGCAGAAGCATCTGAGACACGTCATGCCCATCAAATACGAACTCTGTTTGCCATAATTTTGACAACCTGCGCACCTTCTGATCCGAAAGGTTTATGGGAAAAACACAAAGAGAGTATGAGCGAAGACATACTTCTCCGAGCACGCAGAAATAATCCCGGCTTGGATGTACAGTATTCGGAAGACATTTTCATGAAGCACTGATATCTCATGAGGATGTGTGTATGTCGATTAACAACAAAATCCTCAATCAGCTTGGGCTGTTTTCACCGGAACGTGACAGAAACGATGTTATCGATAGAGACGTATTGCGAGAAAAACAATACGACGTCGATGCGGTACAAGTTTATGTTGAAACTCAGAAAAGGCTCTTAACAAACGATCAACGACTTGCATACGACACAATTATGCGCTTCAGACCATACATTTATATCCACATATATACAAAGTAAATATATACACAAGCAGGACAACGTCTGCCGGGTTCCGCTAGTATTAATTAAAGTTAAAACAAATTAGTGTAAAAAAAAACAAATTTACTACAATTCTGTACAACCAATAATGAACTTCAATAAACAAATAAAAAAATGTATGTCACTTAAACAAATTAAAGATAAACCACTCCTAAGAACACAAACAAATCTACATACAGGTAATTACGAGTCAAATTACTGTAAACAAACAAAAGGATAATATACAACATATAATCAAAAATAAACGTTGCAATAAAATATGCTATTTAAAGAAAAATCGGTTTTAATAAACACAAAGAAATCTATTTAGTTACAAAGAATATTAAAAGAAAACTATAATAAACTATAAATCAGTCTTAAAAACACAAACAAATCTATTTACAAAAAATATTTAAAAAAACTAGAATAAAGGGAAAAGACAATTGAATCGCATTGTTGAAGTTGCTTGCTTTGAAAATACACTGTAAAACTTTCTAATTCACGACGACTTGACTGTCGCCAACACACAAAAAAGTACCGTTAAGAATTAATTCAGTTTTAACAATCATATTAATAACCTAAGTTTTTTAAGTTTGCCTCAATTTATTGCACTGAAAAGAAAAACCCGTTAGAGTGCATGGATTAATGGAAATGCAATCATTTTTTCGTCTATGGGCAGTAATAACCAAATTATTAAATTTAAGGGATTACAGCTTAAAGCAGAAGACAAATGCTGCATTTTAAAAATGCTAAATTTACTTGAATCTAACGGATAATCGTAAAATGGTTGCATTGACAAAAACGTATAGCCTATCAGGAAAATCTCGTTGTCAATACTTTTTACAATGAAGCGAAATGTGTAAGTTACCAAAAAGTATCGTAGTATTACAGGCATCTACCTGTATATAATATCCAATATTATGTTATATGTATATATGAATTCATTGTATTTTTTTTTAACTTACAAAGAAATCTGCTTATTCTAATAGGCAAGGATAATGTTGCAATTCGTAAAAATTTGTTTAGGTGTGGTCTTGGCGGCATAACTTCTATTTTTGTTTTCTTTTTCAGTTGTCAGATTTGATGTTGGGAGATTTTTTCACTCGTTTCCTTTAGCATTTCTTTCGTTTCGCATATGTGTTTTGTATTTGTTTCAAATCTAGAATAAAATTATGTTCATTAGCATTAGTACATAAAAAATTGCAGTAACATACCTTTTTTTTATGGCACCTCATTTTCAAAAACAATCACGGTAAGTTCTTCATAATCAGTGGCAGTATCTTCAGTGATTATTGGTGGTCTTTCTTAAAAAAACTGCTTTTGTTATTGTTGAGTGTTGTAGCTCAGGATGTGTTTGATTGTGTTTTTGAGTAACGGACTGTATTTTGCGTTTTGTGTTTATTGGGTGAATGTTTACACGTTACTGTCACTTGTGTTACTGACCGTTTCAGGGCGGTTGGTGATAAGAATGCTACCTGAGGTAGAAGGGGAAACAACGCCGATTCTTAGTACTCAACAGTTATCTACGTACTGTTATCAAAAATAACAGAAACACGTAATAATTAAAATGATTACTTTATTAGATATTAACTTACCTACTGTAAATAAGTGCAACCTACACTGAATGGCAGAAATTTTCACAAAACTGCGTTAAAAATGAAGTGAGTAACGGATACACTAGAAAGTTTCAGTGGTTGAGAACCAACTGAAATATTGGGATCACAGCCCCCTCATTGGGATGCTTCACTGTGAAGTGCAATAAACATAAATACCGAAAAAAGGGAAACTCCGAATGCACGCCTCAAACATCTGATGTATTGTTTGGTAGGAATACGGATGTTGAGCATTATTTTTTCATTAGATGAAATAAATTTAATAAAACTAAATATTAAATCACTCTCTAATTTTTTTTGGTAACCATCATCACTTTATAAACGTCTTTATAAAATCAAAATTCGACGAAGGAATTCTTCAAAACTTTGTCCCGTTTTAGGGACAATGGACAAAGAATTTTTATGACTTTGTTTGTGTCGTGGGGTCTTTTCATTATTATACGCTCAACCCCGGATGTACCTATTTATAATTTGCCAAGCAGGTACTTACAAAATAACACTTCCAGAGTAAACAAGTTTTCAGAAATAATTATTTTATTAGAAATTATTAGATGAAAAAACTTGTCTTTGGTGTATTTTTAATAAAGCCGTTGTATTTTTTGCTCTAAATATAATTAAGCATTATGAAGACCACTTTTTAAAGAATACGACGATCCACATCTAATTGACATTGCAAAATGACGAAGAAAGGACGGCCTTTTGACGTCATTAATTGACGTCAGAAGTAAGTCATAAAAATTTCGTCATTATCACGTGATTTTTTGGGCGAATGACGTCGCCGACGAGTTATGACCAAAAATTGACGTGAATTAGACGACAGTCTGCTGCTTGGGGTATAAATTCGTTTGTGCAACCATAAGTTCTATAATCGCTTGGTCGATAAAAATAGAATAAAAATCAAATGGACTCAGATCTACCAAAGATGCCGCAAATTCAGGACGTATACCGCCTGTTTCTAAATACTTCATTCCAAAGTGACAGTGGTTTCCTTGAGGATCATTCCACCCTGGTTGTCTCAGCACGGGAGGATCATCTTCTGATTCTGAAGAACTTTCTGGTTTGAACCAATATTAGCTGCTTCTTCTACATCGTTATCTTGTGATTCATATTCGGAATCCAACGAATCGGAGGAATACGGGTCTTCAAGGTCTTCATCAGTAAATTCTAAAATTAAATATGTTTTTCAAAACGTCCAAAAAAAATTACTAAAATGTGTACCTTCATCATCGCTCTCCGGAGGATGGGTAAGTTGTAGAATTCTTCTTGTTCGTTCACTGACTGCCTTAGACATTTTTTACTTATAAACAACGACTATCGTTGCAAAAACGATAAAAGAACTTGCCAACTTCTGAAGAAGTAATAAATGAATGCGTAAGAGCAAGTGAAATGAAAGAAAGGGAATTCAAAATGCAAGTTCAAATAGGTCTAAGCAGGACCGCCGCATGGACCGCTCGTGCTTGGAAAATATGAAAATGCCGCGGGGCCGCAGAGGTCCCTAGGGACCGCTGTATTTTTTGTCTAACTTTGAATTAAAAAAAGGCATTCGAATATTTTCCAATGTTATTTTTAACAGTAAAAACAAAAAAAAGTTTCAAAATCATTAAAACAAAACTTGACCCAACCCGAAAATTTCAAAAATTTGTGTTGGCGGTTAACGTGCCTAAAATGCTAGGCAATACGTTCCATCTCAACCGCAATGAGAGAAAGTGAGACAAAAATAGTAACGTTTGAGAAGTATTATTTGTTACGGTTTTACAAGACTATGGAATTCTTAAAACAGACAGACTGCAGTATAAATTATCTTCATCTTGTAATATTTTAATAAGCAGTTGTTGCGGACATATTTGATTTAGCTAGGACTAATTAGGTATATTGTAACAGAATATCTAGTTGAGCAACGAGAAAGTGTAAATTGTGGCAAACTCTAGTTAAAACTGATCATTATTACGCTACACAATCGACTATTTTGTCCATTGTCATTTTGATAATTCAGTTTAGCAAAGCGTCATGAATTTGTATTAACGATAAATATCTAAGTATATGTGCGCCGAGTTGTGCTGAAAAAGTGGAAATTAAATCCGATGGATGCAAGAGAGAACAACAAAATATGAACCGTTACTAAATAAAGGCCAATTTCAGTAATAAACGTTCGAGTTTTGATTACACGAATTCATCAGAAAGTTAATTTGTACGTGATATAGAGTTAATTGCTACATAATTTTAGCTGCCAGGATCATATTGGCTAAAATAATAACCCAAGAGGTGATTATTTTCTCGATATATTGACGTAGATTTGTGAAAATGGTGCTGTGTAGGTGCTCCTAATCCGGTCTTGTTGTGGTTGCCAATAGTAGTGGATTTTTTGAGAACAAATTTATGAATTTTGGCTAGTCGCCTAATATTGACCCCAGGAAGGGTGGGTAAGATTTTTGTTGGCATTGAGAGCTTGTAACTGTTTGAACTTTCAGTTTGATACGTGTTCTGTTCGCGCTGCATTTATATCGTTTTTGCTTTTTTTTATATTTTACTGGTAAACTTTTTCCAACTGGTGCTGTCGGCGTGTACTGCTGGCTGCCTCTGTTGTGGTGGCAGTAGCTTATTGTCGACTTTTTTCCTTTTTTCGTGTATATACCTACTTATTTAATTAATTTCAACATTCTGTGGTTTTGTAATTATGACAGTTAAATGTAGTAAATGTGCACGTACCATAGGGCGGTCAGATAATTACATCTCTTGTAAGTTATGTAAGCACAATTACCACTTACCTACTCTGTGGTGGTACCTAACCCCTGAGACATATAACAATATGAATGATTTGGGTGCTCTCACTGACTGGTCTTGCAGCTTTTGCAAACTTGAAAATAGTCCTTGTAGTAATTTGAATAACGCTACGGGGGGAACAAATGATATATCTATTTGGGCAGATCAACTTAAAATGTTGGTGCAAGAAATTGTCCATACTGAGCTAAGACCACTATCAAAATAGATACCATGGATTCTATTATTCGTAATCTTGTTATTGAGAATTCTCTTCTCCGTGACGAGATCTCTAAGCTAACTAAAAACTTTCAACAGCAACCGCTGATCCCGCCGAATAATGTTACGCCTTCAGATGTCAATCCTAAAGCGACAAATGATA